AATATTATAATTATATATAATATAATATAATATAGTTGTAATATTTAATTTTATTATAAATATTGTTATTTCTTATATAATATTATAATATGTTTTATAATATTACAATTGTCACGCCCGAAGCTGGGGTCGGTGACGTGAAAGCTCGATTAAGAGTTAAGCATTTAATAATTAAAATCAATAATGAAATATTAAAGAAATCTCCAAACGAGCCCCACTATTTTACCGAAAATAAATTACAAGAACATCTCAAGAGGCTAAAACTCCCGCCTCTCACATCGTTCAGGACTTCACCCACAGGATCTACTCACAGGATCTTCATTATTGTATATACATAAACATGCAAATAACATTACAGACATCAACCAAAGTCTAGAAATCCAAATACCAGAGTTTACAGAATTTACAAATTCTTACATTCGTACACCAGGAGGATGAACACAATCCTCTCTTAATCGGGTGGTAGCAACTCAGCTACTCCGCACTGCTCTTAGAGTCGCCTGAGAGGGGTTTAACATTTATAAAACAATAAAACGTGAGCGAAAGGCCCAGTAGGATATGTTTTAAAATAACTTTATAAATAAATAAACAAATGGGTAAGCAAGTAAATAAATAAATAAATAAGACATTCAGTTCCAACACAACAGCCGGAACCTCACATCATTTTTCTGAAAGGAATATAACCAAAAATCTTCATATTACAGGCATCAGTAAGTAATTTATACTATGATAAATTACTTACACAACCACGTGCACAAGCCTAATCACCCCCGGGCCGGGTTTCGGGTTCTGCCCCCAAGGATGCACTCTCCACATCCTATCTAGGCCATCAGCCGGTTTACCGATTCACGAGATCTCTTGTCTTAAAAAATCATTCATTAAACTTTATGAAACAGTTCATTATAATTCCAATAGTTAAAATCAAGCTATTGTTTTTAAACATACTTTTCTTTCGCAAACATACCCTTTCTTTAAAACATTTGCAATGCCAAAACTCTTGAAAATAGGCTCACAATGAAAGGGGTAAGGAATCCTACCTCGCAAATATCAAACCTATGGCTAGCGTTACTCTATTCCGGCTTTCGCTTCCTCAAGCCCCTCAATCCGAGTCCTCAGCTAGCACTGATACAAAACAACACTTTAGGATCCAATTCTCATTCCTAAAGTAATTTCAATCGCAATTATACCATTTGATTTCCTATTAGTACATAATTCAATTACCGGTTTCACAAACCATTTCATGTTTCAAATCATCATTCCAAGCGTTTCCAATCTCAAAACATGGATTAAAGAAGCTAAACCATTCACTCTAGGTCCCCAAATAAAGCTACTTTGGGTCCTCTTTGAAAACTGAGGTCAAAACAGGGTTTTTCAACAAAACAGGGTCAAACCCCGTGTACATCGGTCAATCGGTGACAGAGCAGTGCAACACCACCGGTCGACCGGTGGTGTGCAATTCGGTCAACCGCATAGGTCGACCGGTGGACTCAGTGTAGTCCAGTCGACCGCATAGGTCGACCGGTCGGTGTAC